GGAAGGCTGTTATCAGAGAGGGGGCTGAGAACTGGCGCTGTCGTTGCATGTGCCTTCCTGCCAGGGGAAACTGAGGCACGGCTGTGCTGGGTCGGGTCCCCTCAGTGTCCCTTTGGGGACGATGCCAGCGGGATGGGGACATGGGGAAGGGGGCAAACCCCCAACCCTGTTCTCCACGGGGGGTGAAGGGATGTGACCAGCGCCGCTCGGCCCGTCGGTGGCGGGGGTGAGGGTGGGTTTTGGGGTGCTCACCCCCCCCGTGGTGGGCAGGGGGTTGTTTTTCCCAGTAGGGGCCAGTCTGTCTGGGTGGCAGGGCCGTGCCAGGGGGGGAAGGAAACGGCGGCGGCACGCTAAGGGCCGGCTGCCAACCGGTGAGGTTTCCCCTTGTTTTTCTGCTGGGCGATGAGATAAGAGCCGGGCACCGGCGCGAGAGAACGCCCCGGGGCCCACGGAGCCAGGAGGGAGCCCGTCGGTAGCCAAAATTCAAGGTGCCGTCACCTTTGGGTGCTCAGAGGGACCCATGGGGTGTTTCGGGGTGCGCGGGGCTCACAGGCGGGGTGTGGAGCGCGAGCGAGACGGTAGTTTCGGGGTGAAAAGCCATTTTCTTCGCTGCCAGCCTTTCTCAGGTCCCCACGCACTGGGGTTCCTGGGCAGGGGGGGCAGGGGGAAGGGGGGGTCCCTCGCCCCGTTTCGGGGCCGGGAGCTGTTGGAGGAGGACCCGGCGTTATTCCAGGCTGAAGGGGAGGTTGCACAACGCGGCCCCGGGGGAAAGCGAGGCGGGTTCGGGCTTCGCTCAGCTTTTGGCTCCGGCTGCCTCGCTTTCCATAACCTTCCTCCGGCGTTTGTTTAGCGCTTTGCTACCCCCGGAGCCATTCGGGATTTAGCTCCCCGGAGGAGGAGGAGGAGGCTTTAGAGAGGGTGCGTGTTTCTTCCTCACCCTCCTCTTCCTCGACCCCGAGCCACTGAGCACCTCCGTTTTGCCGCTCTCCCCGCGCAGATGTCGACCTACAAGCGGGCGACGCTGGACGACGAAGACCCCCTGGACTCCATCGGCGAAGGCGATGGATACCCCAACGGCTTCCAGGTAGGGAGGGCTTCGTGTGTGTTTTAGGGGGTAAAAAAGGTGATTTTTTTAGCTCCTGGCAAACACCAACGGAGGTTGGAGAAAGGTTTTCCGCCTGGGATCAGCCTTTCCGTGGGGCAAAGTCCGGCGTGGGCAGAGCCCTGTTGGCTCCCGCTGCCCTTTGCTCCCCCCTCGGCACCCAGTGCCAGCCATGGGGGAGCCTGGGGGGGTCCACGTTTTTAGCAACACCCCAGCACCCGTTTTTTTTTGCCGGCCAAACCCCTTCCTGGCGTGGCCGGGGCGAGCAATTATCGCGGCGGTGGGAGCTTTGTCCCCGCACAAAGGGGGATTAGGTTAATTCCTCCCCGAGCAGCAGGAAAGCGGCTTAAAAAGGGCCACGGGTGGTGAGAAGAAAACCCCCAAGGTGAGAAAAAAACCCCACGGTGAGGAAAAAAAACCCCACGGTGAGAAAAAAAAACACCAAACCCTCCAGCTGCCAGCGTCTTGCCTCGTCGGAGAAGATTTGGGGCTGGAGCGATGCTCTCGGTGCTGGCCCCACTCCCAGCTCCATCACTCTGTGCCCAAAATGGTGTTTTCACCAAAAATCAGGGCTCTGCTGTGTGGTTGGTTTGTTTTTTTTTTGTTTTAGCTTTTCCCGGCGGGGCCGTCTCCGCATCGGGATGTTTCCTGGGGATGTTTTTCGGCTGAGTGGGAGTATCCTGTTACGGCACTTCCCGATGCCGTGGGGGGGCCCCCACCCTGTCCCAGTGCTGTCGGTGGGGACGGGGACCCCCCCCCCCC